TCCCTCAGGTCCTGGGGTGATCGGGTGGAGGAGCAGCGAATGACAGCGGGGAGACACGGCGGGCCACAGGAGCGCCGTCCGCCCGACGACCATGATGGGGGGCGGCGGGGGCGCGGCCGGGCTGAGCTGGGCCCCCGTCTCACACCTGACCCGTGGAATAAAGGACAAGTGACCCGAGGGCCCCCGCCTGCCCTCCCCCGCCCACGGGCCCAGGCCCTGCTCCCAGCCGTCGCCCACCCCTGATGGCCGCTAACCCACACAGGGGCCCGGGGGTTTATCGGGCTCGGACAGAGGACGGAGAGCCCGGCAGGGCAGGCCCTGGGGCGGGAGGCCCCATGCTTTTGTCGTCACAAAGTCGTTTGTATTACGCTGAGGCACCGGGCGGCCACCACCACGCCGTCCCTCTGCGGGCGATGCAGACTGATGCTGTTTTCTGAATCAAAAGTCGCTTTGTCACATGCTGACCACTAGCAGGTGGCGCTTCCCGGCCCTGGGCAGTGGCACCCGGACCAGGGGCGTGGGCAGACGGCTGCCCGTCCCGTCCCCTCCGCAACCGCAGCCGCGTCCAGGACCTCCAGCGGGCCGGGCCCGGTGAGGTCACTTCCCGGGCGCTGCGGGAGGATGTGGGTTCACGCAGTTTGTGTCAGCACTGTCCTGCCTTGCACGGCCGGGGGGGCCCGCCACCCCGGCCGGCCCCCAGCCCGCCCCGCACAGCCCAGGAGAAGCGTCGGCCTGGAGGGAGGCTGCCGTGGGGACCAGAGTGTCCAGGGACAGCCTCGAAAACTCCTTGGCCCTCCTCCCCAGGACTGGAGGCCTCCACTGCCCCCTGCTGACCGCCCGGCACGGAGAGGGGGGGGGCGCTGTGGCAGCACCCGGGGAGTGGAGCTGGGGGCAGGAGGGCCCCGGGCAGCCCCGTACTGGGCCAGTGACTGCACCCCAAATCACCACCCCTCCGTCCCCCCACGGCATGAGGCCACTGGGACAGCATCCCTGCCCCGGGCGAGACAGCGGGCAGCTGACCCCCCAGAGCAGGCGGCAGCGGCTGCTGACCGCGGGGGGCGGGGGGGTCCGCGACACCCCTCCGTAGCTCATCCGGGAAGTGTGCACAGAGCTGAGCTCTGGGCGGGTCACGGGGGCCCCGGTTCTGCAGCAGCGGAGGGAGAGCGGGCCTGGGGCGCGCCCGGCCAGGCAGGCCCTGCTCCATCAGCCCCAGGTCTGGCGGACCGCCCCCAGCCCCTTCTTCCCAGGCCGGCGGGCGCCCCCACCTCCTCGCCCCAGACTGCCCAGACAGGCCCCCCACGGGCTGCCCCTCTCTGACACAAGGAGAGCGCACCACCTGCTCGGCCGCCCCCGCTGGGCCCTGTGAGGACAG